TCAGTATTATGGTGTCTCACCTTTCTTTGTGATGGGCTTATATATGGATCTCTTTCAGCCACTGACCAAATTTTTTTTCATTGATTAGCGAGCATTTCTAGTGTATTTTCAATAAGTGGCAATAGAGCTCAGGCCTATCTGAGCACCTCTTGCTTCTGTATTGCCACAAGGTAGGGGCACCCTGGCATCCACATGCCATCCATCTTTACACATTCTCACACCAATCGTTCTTCCTACACCACTCTCCATCTATGCTGCCTTCAATTATTATTTGCAATGGCCACACAGAACTCATAAACAGTACTCACAATTAAAGGGTTTGGTGAGGGAAATTAGTAAGTTACCCCAAGTCGGGATCAGCAAACAGTAAGGGTACAGTCATCGGGCTCTGAAGCCATTGCCAAGTCTTTCTCAAGGTCTCCACCTCTCCGCCCTTAGTCCCTTGGCTTTTGCCTCCAGGGGCCAGGCAGCCAGCCAGCCTCTCACTCTGTCCCACAGCCCCATAGTGTTGGACCAGATAAGGCGAAGACACCCCACAGTCCTGGTGCCGCTCCGCTGCATTCCTGTGCCTCAGTCTCTGATGCATCTGGGCTTGATGGCTTCCACCACCTCAGACAGATCTTGGAAGTGCTCTTCCAAGGTGCCTGAGGTTTGGCTTATCTCCCTTCTAGTCGTGGGGTTGGTAAAGAAACTGACCGATCCCCCTCTTAGTGATGCACATGCCGTATGTGTAAGGTCCTACGCCATCATTTGATGGGGGTTGCAGAACCCTGGGGGTGGTGGTGTGTGGTGCTATCAAGTTGGTCCTTGCTCACAGAGAGCCTCTGTACAGCAGAATGAAGCACCATCCAGTCCTGCGCCGCCCTCACCATCGTTCCTGTGCTTGAGCCCATTGCCGTAGCCACTGTGTCGGTTCATCCACTAGAGGGCTTTCCTCATCTTTGCTGCCCCTCCTCCTTCCGAGCTTGCTTTTGCTGTCCTTCTCGACACCGGTCTTTCCTGCCAACATGGCCGAAGTACATGAGACAAAATGCCGCCTTCATTGACATGAAGGGACATTCGGACTGTACTTCTTCCAAGACAGATTTGTTTGTTCTTTTGGCAGTGCGTGGAAATTTTACTTTTCTTCACCAGCACCACAATTCAAATACATGGATTCTTCTTCAGTCGGTTTTATTCAATGCCCACCTTTCTCATGGGCATGAGGCCATTGAAAGTGCCACAACATGGATCAGACACAGCTCAGCTCTCAAAGCAACCTCCTGACTTTTCAACACGGTTCAGATGTCCTGTGCAATGCATCATTTGCTCTCTTGACTGCTGTTTCCATAAGATGGATTCTGGATCCAAGGTGAAATTCTTGGGTTCTTCAATCTTTTCTCCACTTACCATGATGCTACCTATTAGTCCAATTGTAGGGAGTTTTGATTGTTTGTGTGTTTTACGTTGAGCTGTTATCCGTACTGAAGGCTGCAATTCTTCACTTCATCAGCAAGTGATTCAAGTCTTCCTCACTTTCTGCAAGCAAGGTTATGTCATCTGTATATTTCAGGTTGTTATCCGGATGCCACATGCTTTTCACATAATCCAGCTTCTTTGATTATTTGCTCAGCATGCAGATTGAATAAGTATAGCGAGAGGATACAAACCTGACACACACCTTTTCTGATTTTAAACCGTGCCGTATTTCCTTGTTCTGTTCGCACAACTGCCTCTTGATCCAGGTACAGGTTCCTCATGAGCACTATTAAGTGTTCTAGAATTCCCATTCTTCTCAAAGCTATCCATAGTTTGTTATGATCCACACATTCGAATACTTTTGCATAGTCAATAAAACACAAGTAAACATCTTTCTGGTATTTTGTGCTTTGAGCCAAGATCCATCTGACATGAACAATGAATATCCCTTCTTCCATATCCTCTTCAGAATCTGGCCTGATCAATCCCTCTCATCGTTACACATGCCTATTTGCATAATCCAACCCAATCCTTTTTGGGGAGTTGCAGATACTTGGGTTAAAGAGCCAAATTAAGAAATCTCATTCTACCACAGTGTTCATTTTTTGAAAGATCTCAAGTAGTAGTCCTTGGAGCCTTGTTTTACCCTCATGCTGTCAGTGCAACTTGAACTTCTTCCTTCTGTACCATCAAATGCTACCTCTTGAAATGATGGAGGACTGACCTTTGTTGTTGTTGTTGTTAATGACTGTGTATTCCTGCCATCTTCTTTTGCTTCTGTCTGCACCATTCATTATTCAGAGCGTTCTTCAAAATTGCAACTTGAGGCTTTAATTCTGTTTCACGTTGGAATGTTCTTCCTTTTAAAAAAACAATTCCACATTGTCACACATTTCATCATAATCCTTTATTTGCACTCTGGAGCCGCCCTTGGAGGTTTTCAGTTTAGCTCTTTTATTTCATGATTTCTTCTATTTACTTTAGCTACTCTGCACACTTGCTATAGTTTGGTATTCAACCCAGAATAAGTTATGGTAAGCATAGTGTTAATAAAGGATTACTTACTCAATCTGTACAGATTCAAAAATTAATATATGGGATGTGATTAAAGTTTCCACATTTGAGTAATGAGAATGATAGCTATGATTGATTAAATTACTTCTCTGGGTGGGCAGTAGACAGTCACTTGCATACATCATTTGATTTTAACGTAATGATAATTTTAACCTTTTGAGGCTGGCATTGTTATCCTGGCTTCACAGACACAGGAAATTATGCCTTGGGTTGCTCTCCTCTCATGCATTTGACAAAGTCACCAACCCGTCTAGAGTAAAAGTGGGGTTCAAACCAGATCATGTGTCTCAATCATTATTCAGTCACCTTCCCACTAAGGGGAACCCGAGTTTGTCACTTTCCTGTATGGTCTTTCTCACGTTTCCTGCAACCTTCTGAATTGTGATGTTCTATTTGTATATGTAGTCAGTGTCCTGAAGGATACACCTGTGTGAAAGCTGGCAGAAACCCTGATTATGGCTACACAAGTTTTGACACTTTCGGTTGGGCCTTCTTGGCCTTGTTTCGATTGATGACCCAGGATTACTGGGAAAACCTTTACCAACAGGTGAGTACCGAGGGACCTATTAAGAAAAAACATAGTCTATGTTCCGTATTATTCTCATAATATGAAGATACTTTATTCAGTTTAGAATGGACAAAGTGGCGTTGCCCCACTACTAAAATTAGATATGTTTTACACCTGGCAATTCTTGAGTGGGTGGTTCTTAAATCATAAATTGTTTTCTTAGCATGTCTAGGTTTATTGGTCCCTCAGTCTCTTTTCCGCTTTGTCCTTGCTGTTGATCTCTTGTAAACAGCAGGAAGCGCGCCCTGATGGTCCTGTCCTCCACACACCCCACCCCAACCCATGCCTGAGGGTTCGCAGCACCCTAGGCTCACCAGGCTCCGCAGCTCTGCCCCCTTGCTTGCTGGGTTTATTTGTCGACCTGGTATCTGCACGTACAGAGCCCATTCACTTACGATTTTTCTCTCCCAATTCAAGTGCTCCTTCTTCTGGACTTCCATGGACTTTTACATATTTATAACATCAATCTTTTTCCATGTCATTTAATTCACATGGCTCTCTCTTCTGACCTGAATGCCATCCTCCTGGGACTAGATGCAGTATTTTGTTTGCATATTTTCAGCACCGAACCTGAAGAGAAGGCCAGCATGATTATTCATCTTTATAAGTAATTCTCAGTCAGGTTTGTTCCCCCTCCCCTCCAGAATCACAAAACAATTTTTTTGTAGACTCTTTTTGTCTACTTAATTTCTCAGAATACCGTAAATGACCATAGGAAGGTACTAAAACACACTTCACAGGAATAAAAAATAATCACTAAATGACTGTACAGTCAAGAAGAAATTAAAAATAAAACATATGCAAAACATATGCAAAATAGTTTAGGGGAATAGCATTAATACTTCCTGTTTGGGAGGGGGGATAAACTCTTAAGAGTAATAAAAATAGATGTTACCTAGTCCTAAAGTTTGGAAATGAACAAAGTCGTTAGTTTTCTAAGTAAAACTCAGTCTGCGGGGACAATGCAGTTATTATTGTGCTTAATAATAATAATAAACCCTACCTATCTTAAGCATGCCCTTACTAAGTTCCCATACCTTTTATGCTGAAAATGTGATTCTTTTAATAGTGTTTGTCTTCCAGGCAGATATAATTTTATTTCTTTGTATATTTTTATAACTTGATTATTAAAACTGCCTCATGGACCATTTAAATAACTGCGAGGCCAACCATTGGAAAGCACGTGCTACTCTCCGCAAGAGCACCGAGGTTTCCTTCTCCACCACGACTTACCGCTGTAGAAACTCTGAGCGCTGTTCTGCACTGCCCCACAGGGTGGCTGTGAGTCTTCCCTGACTCGATGCTAGTGGGTTTTGTAATATACCATTCAAACTGGAAATATATATATATATATATATAATTTAATTTTGCTCATTTCTGTTTTCCTCTAGACCCTGCGTGCTGCTGGGAAAACCTACATGATATTCTTTGTCTTAGTCATTTTTCTGGGCTCCTTTTATCTCATAAACTTGATCCTAGCCGTGGTTGCCATGGCCTATGAAGAACAGAACCAGGCAAACATCGAAGAAGCCAGGCAGAAGGAATTAGAGTTTCAACAGATGTTAGACCGACTTAAAAAAGAGCAAGAAGAAGCTGAGGTATTGTCATTTAGATTCAAATTCTCTTTAGATGTGCAATAGGTAACAACAGAGCCTCTGTGGTCTATCCTTGCCCTTCCAGGTAAAATTCCCTTAGTTAGTTCTGTATAACACTTCATGATCATTTCTAGTCAGAACAAACGAACCATCTCTAGACCGACCCACACGGGGACACACCTGCCCCATCTCCCTTTCCCCGTTATCAGCTGACACCTGCCAGAAAAATGTCCGAGGCTGTTCTTTCTGAACGTGTTATCTGTAATGCCACCACATACATGGCCTTGTGGAGAACTCCAGAATGTATATAATTCATTTCCCCCAAATAATGATTGTTTATGATGTTCTATGGCAGAGAAAGAAAACTGTGTGCCTTTTAAAAATGTGTCGAGGATTTATAGCCAAAGCCTGAGGTGTTAAAGTTAGACTTGTGGTTGTGACCACGTTGAGCGAAGTCAGAAATCCCAATAGTTCCTCCTCCTTCCTTTGCTCTCCAAAGAGCTACTTGAGTGAAGAAGTTTAAGTTTTGCCTAAGAGAACCAACTTTTGAAATCTACTTTTCCAGTATAAAAGTTTAAGAAGGTTTGCCTTAAGTAACCATAATTTGAGATACATGGTTTGATGCGTAATGTGTGGCTCTGTTAAGTCCTTTCAAGAAGCAAAACCTACCTGGGGAAGGCAACTATCTACAACACCGAAACGCTGCTGCACAGCGCACCCAGAGCAGCGTGTTAGTGAGACTGAAAATCAGAAAGCAGCTGAAGGTTCAATGCTGGTGAAGAGGCGTATGGTGTGTTTATACCTCAGAGTAGTATTCAACCATAAAATTATATGCATTTAAGAATAGATAAGGACATGAAGAAAATGTTGATGTTGAATAGTAAGATATAAAAGTGATAGAAGAATACTTACCTGGCAGGGGAGACACCATGATCACGAAGGTGGTTTTCCCAGGGTGAGGCTCACCCATTGCACTCCGGATGTGCTGACCCCTGCGATTTCCCCAAATGTGGGAAACTCGACTGCATAATTTGTGGTAGTAGGGGACTGCATTCGCGCTATCCCCTGATTAAGAAAGAGAAAAAAGAAAAAAATAAATAAATAAAATAGAAATAAAAGTGATAGAAGATTACGTTACAAAGTACGACAATATATAAAGACTAGAAAAAATACCAACACGTTATTTCTAGGATGCAGGGTTGTAAGTGATTTTATATAAATATTATTTCACCAATAATATTGCACAATAATTAATAATGACTTTTTTAAACAAAGAGTTGGTACTAAGCATACCAGAGGATTCATAGAAGTCTACTCGAAGAAATAAATTATTGACATTATCATTTCCTTGACATATTATTTTTGAATAATTCCCTTTAAACTATAGAGTGCTTGTTTCTGTTGATAACAGTATTAAAATTGAGTTGAATACTACCTAGATAAGATGCAAAGTTATCCTGTTACCTGGCTTGTGTTGCAGAATTAATTAGTAAGTCTTTCACATTTTTAAATTGCTGCACTGTAAACTCATAAAAATATGTAATAGTGTCTGTTTTCCAAAGCACTATGGATAAGAAGCAACGGTGTGCTTTCTAAGCATTCAGCTCACTCAGCTCAGTGCAAAGGAAGTTGTGTCCCCTCCTCTTCACCCACCAGGCCATCGCGGCGGCCGCAGCCGAGTACACAAGTCTTGGGAGGAGCAGAGTTGCGGGCCTCTCCGAGAGTTCTTCGGAGACATCCAAACTGAGCTCCAAGAGTGCTAAGGAGAGAAGAAACCGCAGAAAGAAAAAGAACCAAAAGAAGCTCTCCAGTGGTGAAGAAAAGGGAGATGGTGAAAAACTGTCCAAATCGGATTCCGAAGAAAGTATCAGGAGAAAAAATATACACCTTGGTGTTGAAGGGCCCAGGCGAGCACGTGACAAGAGGTTATCGACCCCCAACCAGGTATCTAGACTCCCTAACCCATAGCACCAGAGGCGTAATAATAGTACCCCGTCTTTTGTTCTTAAGTAGCAGGGCTCTGGAAAGATGAGTGTGTGAAAAAACTTTTTTGATTCTGTTTTTAGGGAAGGCACATCTGTTGCTTTAATGTATGGGGGAAGTATTTGTATGTAGTGGTTTATTTAGGTTTGATCACTTTGAAGGGTTTCATAGTTTCAGAATGATTGTATCTTCTCTAGTATTTCTTTCAGAATAAACAACTTTTCCAAAACAAGATATTTATTCCATGGCAGATTAACGGTAATGGTTTTGTTTAGAATGTTTTGGTTAGAACTAGTCTTAACTTGTAGCACCCTCTTTCCTTCGCCAGCTGACATAATGGTTTCGCCAGGATTCTAGTCATCCCCGTGGAAACCTGCAAGGAAGACTTTTAACAACCTCCACCTCAACCCTGTCTGCTGCTCACATCATGTCCCATCACCCATTACTCCTGTTCGCATGGAATTTCTATTCCCACTTTCCTTCCACTGAGACCACCGTCTCTCAGGACAGCCCACCAATGGCCACTATGGCTGCTATTTTCCTTACCACTTACATATTTCCATTGCCCAGTCCCTCACATCATTTGTTTAAAAAAAACAAAGATCTTGGTCATCCTTCCGCCCTGTGTAGAACAAGCAGTGGTGAAAGACTGCCAACTAGAGGCAACACTCACATCTTATCCATGCCACGAACCGGCTTCTGCTTGCTTTTGCCATTCCTGTGCACCTCTAAGGTCCGCCCACCTAAAGAAAATAACAACAACCAAAAAACACAAATGAACACTGCCATCGAGTTGATTCTGACCCATCCTCCCACTTACTCCCAGAATTCTGACTCCTGGAGACCCAGCACCGGGTTTCCAAGGCGGTGAATCTGCACTGGAGCAGACTTGATCTTTCTCCCAAGGGTGCCTGGTGGGTTTGAACCACTGACCTTGTACTTAGCAGTCCCACGCTTACCCAACAGCACCATCAGTACCCTCACTCCACTACAATAACATTCTGACTTTTGTCTATCTACCCTGTATGTCGGGCTTTTATTCCTAGACATACAGCTTTCTCTAACTGGAGTGGTTTTCCTTTTCTCCTATGACCGTAATACCCGCTCTTCAAGACTCAGCAGAAGTACTGTCCATCCCACACAGTTTCCTCTGTCCTCCTCACTCCTCTCCATGTGCTCCGTGGTGCACCAGCCACACCGCTCTCTTTCCCTCTGAATCTTCATTGATGGTTTCTAGTGTCTCCTACTTAGTCCCAAAGACCCTGATACACTACAAAGAAATAAAAGCTAGAGCCCCTGCTTTCAGGGATGTCACAACCTAGCTGGGGAGACACAGATTGAATACATACAAAATTATTTAAGATATAATACAAAAGAAATGTGACAGAAGTTTTACAAGGAAGTTTTGAGGCAAGGACCTCGCCATATTTATGTCTACATTGTTCAGAATGCCTATTACTTTGTCATTTATGTAGTAAATACAAGTGTTTACTGAATTGAGTACTTCCAAATAATTTGCATTCCATTGGATTTATGGTTTTTCCTGCATCTGAATCATAAAAAATGACTTAAAAAAAATCCTTTCTTTGGTATGGGGCAGTTTCTTTTCCAAGCATTAATACCTGATGACTTTGTGAACCTAATAGTATTGATAGGTTGCACTTCGCCTTAACTGAGCGAGCCCTCACTGTGCGCAGTGACACTGAATGCAAGGGAATGGCAAGAACTCTAGGGGGTAACAGTCTGCTCAAAGACAGTGCCATTCTTTCTGTGACCTGGGGACTTATACAAGGGAGCTTCAAAAAATTGGTGGGAAAAAATCTTTTAATTCAATTTTCCCATGAACATTTTGAAGACCTTTGTATATGAGAAGCTAATCAACAAGTATCAATAAATTCTCAAAGCATTTTGAGCACCATGTTATATTGTAGACAAATTAAAGTGATACGCAGAAGAGAGAGATGGCTTCAGGCTAGCATAGTAGAAATCTATCCAGCAATAAATCATTGAACTGATTCTGAGATCCTTTCAGGAGAAAGAGGGGGCTCTCTACCTCCCTCCTGTAAAGAGTGACCGTCTGGAAATCCATAAGAGCAGTTCTTCTTTGACCTCTAGGGTGGCTGTGAGACAGAATAGGCTGGAGGGCAGTGGAGTTTGAAATCATTTCAATCTTTATTTGGAGGAATTCTTTGTGCTGAATTAATTTTGCATTTTTAAATATGGGGCATTTCATTCAAACCAGGCCTGAGATAATCTGCCCTCAGGTCAGGGGTCTCAGTGGTTGTGGTGAGAAATGCATTTCTATTCTGGGGCACCTTGTGCAGATACATGTCACCTTTTGCTTCTTTTTCTCCAGTCCCCACTCAGCATCCGTGGCTCCTTGTTCTTCCCAAGGCGAAGCAGCAGAACAAGTCTATTTAGTTTCAAGGGTCGAGGAAAAGATCTAGGATCGGAGACTGAATTTGCGGATGACGAGCACAGCATTTTTGGAGACAACGAAAGCCGAAGGGGGTCACTGTTTGTGCCCCACAGACCAAAGGAGAGGCGCAGCAGTAACATCAGTCAAGCCAGTAGGTCCCCCCCAGTGCTGCCGGTGAACGGGAAGATGCACAGTGCCGTGGACTGCAATGGCGTGGTCTCCCTGGTGGATGGACCCTCAGGCTTCTTGCTCCCCAATGGACAACTTCTGCCAGAGGTGATAATAGATAAGGCAACTTCTGATGAGAGCGTAAGGACATTTTCAATAGCTCAGGCATGTCTGGGCCCTCCCTCCTGCATCATTCTCTCTTCTGGAGGGGGCCTTCTCTCTGATCTTGTGAATGGCTCTGCATTTTGCAATACTTCTTCTGTCGAAACTCATCTTGAACTCATTAACATTAAATCTCATGCCTTGTGTTGTAGGCATCACATTAAAAGATTTTTAGAACAGTGTTTTAAAATACAGTACTTATGTATCAATCTTATAAGTGAAGATTAAAATCATTCCTTTAGGGAACAAAAAGGAGTGCTGGTGGGTAGTGAGTTAGGAGTTGGGCTGCTAACTCAAAGGTTTGCAGTTCAAAACCACCAGCTATCCTGCAGGAGAAAGATGAGGGTCTCTACTCCCATAAAGAGTTACAGTCTCAGAATCCCACCAGTGCAATTTTACCCTATCCTATAGATTTACTATGAGGTGGAATTGACTTGATGGTAGTGGAGTTGAGCAAGTTAGGGAGCAATTTATCAAAGATATATATCAGCCCAGAAAATGCTGGTCAGATTACAAAGTTCCTATTTCTGTAAAGAAAGTTAGGTTATCAGATCTTTTTCAGGTCACTATTTAATTTGAGGGTGCTACTAAAAGTTTGTGTCTAAATTCCATTATCTTTTAATTCCATTTTTATGACCATTTTAAAGCCCCCCTCCTGTATACCTTAGTATTCATAATTGCGTTACACTTTATTCTTACCCTTGTTTTACACACGGGGAAATTTAGGCACAGAAAACGAATGAATTTTTCCCAAAGACACTCAATTAATTAACTTTAGCCTTGAGGTTGAAATAGAGAAAAAGGAGACAAATCCTCTGTGTCTCTCCAATATGTAATAAGTTTCCTGGAAGTAATTTAGAATTACTTTGGAGTTCCCATATACCAATGAAATTTACCATTTTCATGAAAAATATAGGTTTCGTGTGGAGTCATTGAATAAAATTTTATCTACCAAACTGCAGAAGTTGGTACAAACATACATAAAACAAAAACAAAGAGACAAAAAGTAACCACTCCAACAATTTCAAGAATGTATCAGGTCATTGAGTGGTTGAAGTGAAAGCCCTACTTAGTCTTGCAGGCAAGATCTTTCTTGGGTCCTGGTTTTAGGCTTTACCTAGTGAGTCCTTTCACTAGTTCACTGGATGGCATGACTCATCGTTAGGGCCATTGGTTAACCCAGTTAGCTCTGCATTCATGCTATACATTTTCATAGGTTCATTCTTCCAGTCCATGTAATATTTCAAGTGAGACCAAAGTTCCGTCAGAGCTTTGGTCCCACCTGTGTGTGTCCATTTGAATGGCGGCCTGCATGTGCTTTTAGGAGAAGCATGACCTCTCTTCTTGCATGACCCAGCTGCTGCCGCTCTAAGGCATCTCACCTTTCCAAACAAGCATGCGCAGTCTCTGTGGAGTCAGATCTTTGTTGTGATTTTGCTTTTCAGCCATTGGGTACAATCTGTGAAATAAATCAGATTTGGAGATTATTTTATATTTTTAATGGATCCTTTTCATTTAGACCTTTATTTTTACCACAAGAGGAAGAAACAGAGCCATAATAAATTCTGAAACTAAAACTAAAGATGCAGATTCTCTAAGATTCGATATAAACTCAATAAGCATTATAAGATGGCATAACATATGGTTTAGGTGAAAAAAATACATTACAAATTATATAATCTCTACACCTGAGACTTATCTACAAGGAAAAGGATTTGTTTTGTCAAATTATTTTTTACCCAATTCTTGTTTGATTTGGGGGAAAAATATTTCCGCTTCTAAAAAACTCTGATTAAGAGATTGAAGCAGAGCGCATGTTTATAGGGAGATCTCAGTAAAAAGCCTCCTACCAATATGTATGTGTGCAATATGCAATGTACTACATACACATATGTACATACCTGTGCATGTGTTTTTATACACATGCGTATATCTAAGTATATATGCACAACTATATTGTAATAATGTGTGCACATATATGTGTAAAATGGTATGTATATATACATATGCACTGTACATAAGCAGTTAAGTAGGTTGATAACGAGATTGATGCAGATTCGTGTATTGCATCTGTGTGTGTGTGTGTGTGTGTGTGTGTGTGTGTGTGATTGGCCTGCACTGAACCAAGGACACCAGGTTGTGCATTTGAATTCATTGCCAAGATTTTAAAAGAAGGAATCTGGCTTAGAAAAGTGTTGACCTGGAAATATGACGCTCATCTTTCTGCATGGCCACAATCCTTTAGAGCTGAACAATGGTCACCTCTTTGACGTGGGTCTTGCCTTTTCCATTTTCCCCATCAGTCTAAATGGGCCTTTTTTCATCTTATCTGTTCAGATCAGCTTATGAAATTTCCCTTGCCAGCAGAAACAGTGACCATGGCAGCCTCCACGATGCTGTCACCGAGACAAAGAATTACAGAGTACTGGCTCAATACTCATTTAGCTCCATTCAGATAGGACTCTTCCATGCTGATTTTATGGGTCTAAATTGAAGACCCAGAACAATGGATCATTCATATAACAATAAAAGCAACTAGATTTTAAAAAATCCTTAAGTACAAATCTCTCTAACCCCTGACATGGGATGATGAGATGTAGAAGCTGGTATTATCCCCATTTTGCCAGGGACGAGACAGATGCAGAGGGATTTAATTACCCGTCTATGACATACAGCAGGGGACTCGTGATTGGGACCAGTTATATACTGTGTACCCTTAATCACTCTCTATTGCTGCAAGATTTTATTTTGTACCGACAATGTATTTGGATCCTATTCCTAATCATCTTTTTTTTTCCTTTCAGGGCACTACTGGTCAGACACATAAGAAAAGACGATCCAGTTCCTATCTCCTCTCCGAGGAGATGCTGAATGACCCCAATCTCAGGCAAAGAGCCATGAGCAGAGCGAGCATACTGACCAACACTGTGGAAGGCATGTAGTACTATTCTCTTTACCATACTGACTCTCACCAATGTGATTAGGAACACTCCTGAGCAGCCTCAAATCGGTAGATGAAGTTCTCGAGAAGAATTCCGAGATCAGAAGTGATTGTAAGCAATAAGAAACTGATCAAAGGATGTTAATGAAATACTTTGAGTGTTGTAAAAAGTTAATAAAAGCAGCCTAATTTTCCAGGTAATCTTTGAGCTAAAGCACAATAAAAATTTTTAATGGAAAAAACTGAGAAGAGCACTGATATAGAAAACTGGGTTAACTTATATGGTGTGATTCTTTTTTCGCTTTTTAATCATTTTATTGGGGGCTCTTACAACTCTTGTTATGAACCATGTATCAATTGTATCCAACATATCCGTACATATATTCCATCGTTCTTTTCTAGACATTTACTTTCCATGGAGCCCTTGGGATCAACTCCTCGTTATCCCCCTCCCCCAAACCCTCGTGACCCTTCATAGATTGTAGATTGTTAATTACTTTCACACTGACCACTGTCTCCCCCTCTGGTTTCTGTTGTTCTTCCTCCTGGATGGGAGTGTGGTTATGTGTTGTCCATTGTGGTCGGTGCCCCCCTCCCTCCCCAGCTCTCCCCATCTTCCCCCTACCCCTTGCTATCTCTAGTCCCACTCCTGTTCCTGGGTTCCATGCGTTGTGAGTTTTATCTCTTGCCTATACCTGTGTACATGCTCCCGTCTAGTCTAGATTGGGAAGCGGCACTGATTGGGTGATTTTAGAAATTTCACCTATTCTCTGAATTTGTTCCCTTTTCTAATATAATAAAGCAATGCTTTAGAAATTGCTGCTTCTAACTCCATTATATAAGATAACTTTTGTGAAATGGTATGATATGAGATCATGTTAACAGTTATGCTATTGGGGGGAAATGGTATTGGGGAAAAGTTTGGAGTGTGAGCTGTGGTGATGAAATCTTGAGATTAACTGGGAAGAGTCAAATGATGGCCAGGTTGTAAAATGTGCTGACTCCTACTGTCACCCCTGCCAAGATGTTCCAGTTCTCACCTGGCCCCCAGACTAAGCAGCCCCAGTTCTAGATCCTATAACCGCAATGGACCCAGGTAAAGTCTCCACTCCCTCCCTAGGTCATGGTAGACAGTAAAGGGGCTATGAAAAGGTCTTGTGCAGATGGCATACCTTAGTTATGTGGAGTTTTATTATCCAGAGATTTTTTTTATCCCCATCCATTTGTAGAATTTTCCTACTGTCTTCAAGAGATTATGGATACAATGTGGAAAGCATCTGTATTGGTGGAAAATCTACATTACTTTTGTAAAGGAAACAGTGGTGCTCCTGTTTGCCCCCCATGTTAAGGACTCTGTTTTCTTTGATAGATGTACCTATCCCAGCTCTCATTTCCCTACCGTCCCCTCACTGATGCCTAAGCTGGTCAACAAACATGGTACCAGACTTTTGTGCCATATGCAGTGCTCTCATGGATATACTTATGTTAAATATTTACAAAGTCTAAATTATAAGATTTGTTTACATACAAGAGCACACCATTGGTTTTTATTTGAGTAGGAATAAAATATCCAAATGCCCGAGTTCATGTTCTTGGTTTGTCTGTTTGCAGAACTTGAAGAATCCCGACAGAAATGCCCACCTTGGTGGTACAGATTTGCACGCACTTTCTTGATCTGGAATTGTTCTCCATATTGGATAAAGTTTAAAAAGTTGATCTACATTATCGTAATGGATCCTTTTGTGGACCTTGCGATAACCATCTGCATCGTTTTGAACACATTGTTTATGGCTATGGAGCATCACCCAATGACCGAAGAATTCAAAAACGTGCTCTCCGTGGGAAACCTGGTGAGTCTGCCTGTGGATGCGGAGATTTGCGGGTGTAGTGGGCTGTGTTAGGCTGCTAATCACAGGCTCTGCAGTTCAAACTCACCAGTTCACGAGGTGTCAGAATTGATAGGATCTCAATGACTCAGAATTGACTTGATGGCAATGAGTTTGACTTTTTGGTGTTTTCAGTTTTCTTTGATCTTGGTGTGTTATGTAACTATCGATTCTCTTTTGTATTGTTGCTTTTGTCATTTCATTTATGTTAAAGCCAGGTGGGCGTGGAGCTAGTTGTAATTATGCACATAAAGGATGCTCAATGTGAGTCATAGTACAAAGTCAAATTTCTGGTTATATATACAAATTTCAAATGATTTTGCACTCCTGTTGGGATCTATAAATAACATTTCTATTTCCATGCAAGGTTGCCATCCTCAGAGTTGACAAGGTTCTTGTTTCTGCCAGCAATTCTCTTGGGAGCAACACTTTCAAAATTTGATACATTCTTACATATTTTATAGTTACATTGGTATTTCCTTGGGAGTCTTTAGCCCACATATTTTTAGAAAAGCTGCAGAAGCATTGTTTGGATAGAGTATTAGTAAACTATCTAGACATTTCTAGTCTCAACCTATGTAATTTTGAATTCAGTTTCTTATTACTTGTGTGGCCTCGGATAACTGTTTTAAATATTAGATTTTTAATTTGATCATTTATTAAACGGAAGTACTAAAATTTCATTTATAACATTTCGGGTAGATGAAGCATTTTCAATGTTATTTATTAGCCTGACACATGTTAAGTACTCCAAGAGAAATGATTGCTTTAATATGATTATTAGTGTCATTGTCTCTTGAAAATCAGTGCTGATCACACTCTGGCTCAATGGCCTTGCAGCAAACAGAACTGCTGGCTTTTGACAATATGCATGAACAGGTGGAGATTCTATCTCAGGGTCAAAGAGTCCTGGTTTATGACTAATCATAAGCCACGAATAATGCTGGGTGACTTGGCAAATGTCTACATAAGATTATTTTTCCGTTTGCCGTAGTCTCCACACAGTTGATCTTGCCCAAACATTTGTTTTGATGTCTTCTTTCCAAAATTGCTCTGGACTATTCCCAGGCAGGATATTAGCATCCCACGTGCTCTACACGTCATCTTTCTTCTCCCCTTCTCTTTGGGAAAAAAAGCAGCACTTTTGGGTTTCCAATTGCTAGGTGATATTCAGTCCCCCTCAAGCTGCGCTCGCTGCATCACTGTTAACTAAAGAAGGATTCGCCATGTCTCCTTTCTTATAATAGCTCCAACTCTGGGTGCTCTCTGCTTTGTTATGAATTTCTATTGTTATTAGGTACGTTAGAGGCTCCTTCGACCAAAACATAGCGCAGTCCTCACCATCAATCCCCATGTTTGAGCCCACTGTTGCAGCCACTGTTATCAATGCATTTCATCCAGGTCTGCTTTTTTCACTGATTCTCTACCAAACATGATGTCCTTCTCCCGTCAGTAAGCCCTCCTGACAGCAGATTCCTTTCATCCTAGCTTCCAAGGAGTGATTCTGGCTGTACTTCTTCCAGGACAAGCTTAATTGCTATTCTGCCAGTCCATGGTACTTTCAGTATTTGCCAACACGAATTCAAAGGCATGTGTTTTTCATCAGTCTTTTTTTACAGTCACAGATCTAACCATTTCCCTTTCAACTTCTTTTGGTGAATATCTTTTGAGTCAGAGTACGCAAATTATTTATAAACAGGTCTTTTTATTGTTACCTTTTTGAGTGACTCTTCTGATACCCATGCCAAGAATTAGAGATGTTTTGTAGTGCACTTTTGTGTCAAAGCTTTGGAAGTTTTATTTTAGTTGCCGCTATGTCAATTAAACACTTTTCCCTCTTCGGATAAATCTTTGAAGAGTGAGTGAGTCAGCATCTTCTCTATACTCTGAGTGATCAGGCCAAAGAAAAGTAAAACAAAGAGGGAAAAAATTGGTTCATAATTTTAATTATCAATGTATGTTTTCTTTTTACCTTATTCTAAAGTCTTGACCCGTATACATTTTTTGAAACAAAGGGTGACTATGTTCATTGTTAAAGGTTTCTGTTTCACTAGAATTCTTAAAGGTTCTTCTAAAATACAATCTTAGATCTTCTAAAATACAATCTTAAGATCCTGAGAGCTGATAGGACAGTTAGGACTTTTTAGCCCTCAGTGTTTAAATGAGCGCTACAGGACTACAGGTGTCTAGTGTATAGGATACATTAATTATATACACTTGCCAAGCATCCAGAACTACCCAACCTAAAAACAAAAAGAAAAGTTACTCAAATCGTCTCAACTTATTTTCATTATGTTGATTGCATGCCTTCTCATAGTACCAGAATAATATAATATTTGTCACTTAGGTCTTCACGGGGATCTTTGCCGCAGAAATGGCTTTGAAGCTAATTGCCATGGACCCATATGAGTATTTCCAAGTAGGCTGGAATATTTTTGACAGCCTGATTGTGACGCTAAGTTTAGTAGAGCTTTTTCTAGCAAATGTGGAAGGACTGTCAGTTCTGCGATCATTCAGATTGGTAAGCATAAACCCACCTTACCGTTCTTTTTTATGTGTAAAGAATTCTTTCTTTGGCTTTGCATTCTTGTTATTTCAAATGTTCGGAATTTTTAAATAAAAGGCAAGTTTAGATTTTAGTATTTTGTATAAACTGAAGTTCATTCCTTAAAACATGCTCTTAAAGAGCTTAATACAGCATGGGTATTTTACATTTAGTATCTTCAAGACATGCTAAATACTTAATTTGCAGTATATGCAAGTATAATGGAAACGAGTAAAGAAAAAAGTTTGTAAGTATGGAATTAAATTCACAGTGTGAAATTTATAGATTACAGACTTTCAACCATTCATGGGGCTTCCAAAAGGTCATGGGAAAATGGAATGAAAACATAATAGAAATATTCCATGGACTTTAAAAGCACCAATGACTACAGATCAGTAGT